TGAAGCCTGCGAGGAGGAAGAGGCCAGCCTTCCTCAGCCACCCCCCAGCCTGCCCCTGCTGCCTCTGCTCCGACCTCTGCCTCTCTGCTCTCTGCCTGCGCTGGCTCCTCTCCTGTGCCCAGGCTGAGCTGGCAGCAGGCAGCACCACCAAGGGGCTGGCTCTGCTCCGGGCCGTGGTGCCGCGCTGCACCGCCGTGGCCACCCGCTTCACTGCCGTGCTGCAGGACAAGCTGAGGGACACCTCCACCAGCCAGGAGCCCCCGGCACTGGAGCTGCTGCACGAGCTGGTGGCCTCTTGCTACGCCACACTGGCCCTGCAGAGCCTGGCCAGCCCCCAGCTGGCAGAGGAGCTGGAGCCAGGGCTGAAGTTCTTGGCGTCCTGCAGGCCCCACGTGCCCAGCCTGGAGGTCTCCAGGGCCACGCTGCTGCTCGCCAAAGCCACGGCCACCTTTTGCCACGGTGACTCCGGGGATGCCGTCTTTGCCAGCTCTTGGAGCCAGCAGCTGCCCACACCCACTCCAGCAGAGCCTGAAGTGGTGCCTGTGCCTCAGGCCCTCAAGACAGCCAAGGCTCAACCCCAAAGGAGCAAGAAGCCAACCTTGGCTGCGGCCGTGCCCAAGCCCAGAGCAAAGAAGGGCCAAAGAACAAAGCCCTTGGCTGTGCCAAGCACCGAGGACGTGTTTGCTCTGAGTGACCTGGACACGGAGGTGCCCCCCATCGTCATCCGGCCGGTGACAGTGTCCCGCACCCCACACCAGAGAGCACGTCTCCCCTCTAAGGCCCGAGCAGCCCCGGGGCCCAGGACCCCCTTCACCATCTTCAGCGAGTCCTCCCCCCCAAGCAGCAAGGCCCAGCTCCTGCGAGCACCCAGAGCGCTGGGGAGGGTCAAGACTCGCCTGCAGGTGAGTTTGGAGGGAGGTGAGGGGCAGCCCCATGTGCCCAGCACTGTCCCCACCACCCCCTGTCCCTCTGCCCTAGGTGACGTTCAGCGATGACAGCGACCTGGAGGCTCCTGCAGCAGGGGGGACCCCCACAGCCTCCCGCAAGCCCTCCTGCCCCCAGGGAGCTCGGTCCCCCCGGCCCACGCGGTCCAAGGGGAGCTCGAAGGGGCTCAGCACCCGCAGGAGCTGTGCTCAGCCCCGCAGAGGGCGGCCGGGCACCCACAGGCCTGGGGCTGTGGAGGAAAAGAGGGAGCGGGCGCCCCGTAAAGCTGCCAGCAAGAGAGCAGAGGAGGAGGAGTGTGAGCTTCCCAGGGCCACGGAGGCAGAGGAGAAGATGGAGGAAGAGCTTCAGGTCAGCTTTGAGCTGTTGCAGGACTCGGAGGAAGAAGCCAAAGCCCCAGGTGAGCTGGGCTGCCTCAGGATTTGGGGAGGTGTTGCTTTCATGTCCCCCTATACACTTGCAGGGGGTTGTCCCCATCAGTCCCAGGGACCAGAGATCTCTGTCCCTCCCCACAGGCAGGAGGCAGCAGCCTCAGCGCAGGCAGGAAGGTGCAGGCAGGAAGCACAAGCAGCAGGAGGCTGGTGAGGATGTCCTGGCAGCACAGTCCCTGTGCAGCAAGGATGCACTGCACCCGGAGGGGACCCTGCCCACAGCTGGTGGTGAGCACCCAGCACAGTGTGATGGGGAGGTTTGGGTGCTGGGGGCAAAAGCTGAAGCTGAGCCTGTGGAAGTTGGTGGCAGCTCTGCAAAACCATACTTAAAATGGGTAAAAACTGCAGGCAGAGGGTGAAAGAGCTGAGGAGGAGGCGTGAGAGGGGCTGCTCCCCTTTCGTGTCTTCACCTTGACCCACAGTGGGGTCCTCATCCCAGTTCCTCACCATTTCCTGAGGAAGGGAAGTGGGTGAGTGCCTGGGTGGGCATCAGGCTGCTCACCGAGCATGGGGCTGCCCTGTGAGCTTCCTGCACGTGGGATGCTGGTCTTCAACCGGGAGCTGGTGGCTGTGCTGGGGTCACCATCTCTGTCCCCTCTGCTCCCCTCACCACCACTTGGCATGCGTTGCTCAGGGCTCCCTCACTGACCCTGCCCTGGGCTCTTCCTGCTTTGTCCCTTCCAGACATCTCCTCCCTGGACACAGTCCTCAAGCTCCTGAAGGATGCTTTTAACTGCATCAGCCACTGCCCTCCCAGCACCCTGCACAGCCAGCTCTGCCAGCTCCTGGCTCTGGCCACCGGCAGCCAGGACCCCCTCTCCACCGCGTACCTGCTCTCCGAGTCCCTCTCCATCACCACCCGCCACCAGCTGCTTGATGTCATCCACAGGAAGATCCAGTGCGTCCCTCAGTGTTCCCCCCCCTTCGCTCCCAGAGCATCACAGAGAAGGGGTTCGCCCTTTTGGGGTGCTTGTTCCCCTCCTGAGTGCCTTTTCCTCTGCAGCAAAGGGAAGAAGTCAGTGGGGGACGTGGCTGAGCAGCTCAAGGGGCTCTGCCTGCAGGAGGGGAGCACTGCCCAGCGCAGCCAGCACCTTGCTGAGCTCGAGAGGCTCTTCATGTTCAGCTCCACGGGGCTGGGGCCTGAGGAACGGGACAGGTTTGGGATGCAGCTGCAACAGATCCCCAGTGGTAAGATCCAGTGTGATTCCAGTGACGCAGGCAGCCCATTGCCTAGGAGGGTGCTGGGTGACACTTGGGTGCTGTCCTTATGCCCTGGGCGTGACTTTCAGGGGTGACCGTGTGCATGTTGACCCTCGCCAGCACCCAGCCTGGCTCCATAGGGGACACGCTGCTGCTGACACGGCTGGAGAAGGGCAGCACCCCCGTGAACATCCGCATCCCCACAGCGCTCACCAAGGTGAGGGTAGGGATGGGACAGGGGCATCCCTGCCATGCCAGGGGCTCAGGTCACTGCTCCCTTCCTCCTCCAGGCCCCGCTGCGCTCAGTGCTGAGGGACTTTGACACCATCCAGAAGGAGCAGAAGGAAGCCAACGCCTGCACGGACAAGCAGGACTGGTGGCTGCGCCGCTTCGAGCTGGACCGCAGGATGAAGGTGGGGGGGGGAACCACCTTGTGGGGTGGATTTTGGACAGGGTTTGGGGTCCAGGCCCCCCCTCAATGACTCTGACCTCTTGCAGAGCCTCATCGAGACCCTGGAGCTGCAGGTTCTGGGCTGCTGGAGGGGGGTCCTGCTCCCCACCAGCCCCGAGCCCACTCTGGCAGAGAACGCCGCCCGGTTGCACCCCCAGCTCCTCCAGTGTGGCTGGAGGAACACGGATCCCACCCTGCTCAAGGTGCTGGGCTCGGGGAGGAGTCTGGGGAGCTGAGCCCTTACCTGGCCTCTGCTCTCACCCTCTTGTTCCTCCCTGCAGGCACTGCTGAACGCTGCTCCCCTCCTCTCCCCCTGTGATGTTCAAGCTGTGGCCTTCAGCCTCTGCTCAGCGCAGCCCCGTCAGGCTCAGCTCCTCTTGCAGGAGGCAGTGGAGAAGCGGAAAGCCTGCGCCAAGCAAAGCAGCAGCTCCCTTGTTCTGGTTCTGGATAAGGTGAGAGCCCTGCCCTGCATCACCTCCTCCTGGCTCTGCTGCCTCCCTCCTGCTCCAACCTTCCTCCTCCTCCTCTCCCAGCACCTACAGAAGCTGCCCTGGGAGAGCATGGGGTGCCTCAAGGCTGTGCCCGTCACCAGGCTCCCTTCCCTGCGCTTCCTGCTCAGCTACTCCCTGGCACAGAAGGTGAGAGGAATGGGGGGGGGACCCCACGTAGCCCAGCCCTGGGGTGGGGAGGGATCCCCCAAACCTTGCCCTTGACCCCCTGTGTGCCCCTTCCTGCAGCAGGCAGGGTCTGTGCTGAGCCGCGGCGTGAACCCCAGCAGCACCTTCTACGTCCTCAACCCACACAGCAACCTCAAGGACACCGAGGAGCGGTTCCGGGGCTGGTTTGAGAGGTGGGTGAACAGCTCCAGGGGGGCTGCAGGGGTTAGGGGTGCTCTGTGCCCCCCCCAAGCCCATTTTGACCAGCATTCCCACAGCGAGCCCGGTTGGAAGGGGGTGACAGGAGCTGTCCCAAGCCCAGAGCAGATGCAGGCGGCCCTCCTGGAGCACGACCTCTACATGTGAGCATCACCGGGGCTGCTTGGGGCCACCCTGCGGGGTAGGAGGTGACACCAGGGCTCACCCAGGGGTCCTTTCCCTCTGTAGCTATGCCGGGCATGGAGCAGGCGCCCGCTTCCTGGACGGGCAGACCATCTCCCGGCTGGAATGCCGTGCTGTCACCCTGCTCTTCGGCTGCAGCAGCGCCCTGCTGGTTGTCAGAGGCAGCCTGGAGGGCTCCGGCATCATCCTCAAGTACATCATGGCTGGCTGGTGAGTGATGGGGGGGTCTCTCTGTAGGGCTGCGGAGGGGTTTCCATGCTCAGGGTGGGATCTAAGCCCCTTTTCCCTTGCAGCCCCTTCGTCCTGGGGAACCTGTGGGATGTGACAGACCGGGACATGGACCGCTATGCACAGGCACTGCTGGAGGGCTGGCTCAGGGGGGGCTCGGGGGCCCCTCTCCTTGACTACATGGCCCAGGCACGCCAAGCCCCCAAACTCAAGTACCTCATTGGGGCAGCCCCTGTTGCCTATGGGCTGCCTGTCTGCCTGCAGTGAGGGCTGGGGGTTCGGGGGGGACACTGAGGCCCTTTGGGAGGGGGGGAGATGTTTTCTGTCTTATTTATTTTAACAGAAGTGCTTTTAGGCGTTTGTTCTGTACCAATAAAGCTGCTGCTCTTTCACCTGTGTGCCCTCCATGTGTGTGTTCCCCTTTCCCATTTGGCCTCAGTCCCTAGGGCTGGTCCCCCCCCAGGGAAGGTCACTGAGGCTCCTGTCCCCCCTCCTGCTGCTGGATGGGACCCAGAGCCCCTACTCTTGCCCCCCATCCCTTGTTGGCTTTGGGGGATCTGCTCAGGGACCCTGTCTTTGGCACTGCTGGGTTTAGCCTTTGCTTCTGGTTGTGGGGGCACCTTGGATGTCCCTGCTATGGGATGGACGCGGTTCTTGGGATGCTGGAATGTGCGGGTCCTGCCTCCTTCCCCACCTCCTCCAGCCGCCAGGGGGCGCTGTGGGGCGGAGCAGCGAGAGGCGCGGGTGGTGCGGGAGCGTCGCGGCGGCCCAAGATGGCGCAGCCGGTACCGGCGGGGGAGCTGCCGCTGCCGCAGCTGGAGCTGCTCAAGGGGCAGCTGGACCAGGTCCGGGGGGCGTTGGGGTGGGCTCTGTGGGCGGGGGGGGGACCGGCGGGGGGGTTCAGTGGGGTTGGTGGGGGGCTTGGTACGGAAGGGGGGATGTGTGGGTCTAGAGTGGGCTGTGGGCCTGGGGCTGATGTGTGGGGCCTGACTGGGCGGGGGGGGGCTGTATTGGGCTGAACTGGGTTAAACTGGGCTATGGGGTTTGGGGTTGATGTGTGGTGATGGGGGGCTGGGGTTATGTGGGAGCTATACAGGGCTATGGGGGTTGGAAAGGGTGTGTGGGGCTGGGGATGATGTGTGGGGCCTGACTGGACAGGGGATGCTATATTGGGCTGAACTGGGCTGTAGGGGTTGGAGGGGATGTGTGGGGATGGGTCTTGGGTTGATGTGTGGGGCCTGACTGGGTGGGAGGGGCTGTACTGGGCTATACTGCGTTAAACTGGTCTCTGGGGTTTAGAGGGGATGTGTGGGGATTCAGATGGGGATGGGGGGGCTATGCTGGCATTAATGTATGGGGCTGGGGTTGATGTATGGGGCCTGGCTGGGCGGGGGGACGACACTGTACGGGGTTGAACTGGGCTGTGGGGGCTGGGGTTGATGTGTGATGGGGGAGGTTATGTGGGGGCTATACTGGGCTATGGGGGTTGGAGGGGGTTTGAGGGGATGTGTGGGGATGGGTTCATGTATGGGGCTTGACTGGGTGGGAGGGGCTGTACTGGGCTATACTGGGTTAAACTGGGCTGTGGGGGTTAAAGGGGCTGTATAGGGATGGGGTTGATACATGGGGTCTGACTGGGCGGGGGCGGGACTGTACGGGGTTGAACTGGGCTCAACTGGGTTCAACTGGGCTATGGGGGCTGGGGTTGATGCGTGGTGATGGGGTTATGTGGGAGCTATACTGGGCTATGGGTGTTGGAGCGGATGTGTGGGGCTGGGGCTGATGTGTGGGGCCTGGCTGGGCAGGGAGGGGGTCTGTACTGGGCTATACTGGGTTAAACTGGGCTGTGGGGTTTAGAGGGGATGTGTGGGGATGGGGGGGCTATGGTGGGGTTGATGTGTGGGGCCTGGCTGGGCTGTTGGCACTGGGCCCCAGGGGATACTGGGGTGGGAATGGGGGGACTGCCTCATCCCCATGTCCCCATGCATGACACAGTCCTGGGGACCCCCCTGATCCCCCCTTCTTGTCTGCAGGAGGTGGAGTTCCTCTCGTCCTCCATCGCCCAGCTCAAGGTGGTGCAGACCAAGTACGTGGAGGCCAAGGACTGCCTCAATGTGCTCACCAAGAGCAACGAAGGCAAGTGGGGTGTCCCCCCCCTCCTCCCTGCCTTTGCACCCCAAAGCTGCTTCTTCCTGCCCTGAGCCCCATCTCCCCCCTCTTGGTGCTGGCAGGGAAGCTGGGGGGGCCCTGATGTTGTTCTGGGCCCCCATGGGCTCCCCTCACTCTCCTCTTGCCTTTCCATAGGGAAGGACCTGCTGGTGCCGCTCACCAGCTCCGTATCCTTTTCCTGCTCCCAATTCCCACCCCTCCGGGCTCTCTGTGGCATCCATCCCGGCTTTCCCACCGGAGCCATGGTCCCCTCCAGCTCCCATTCCCTGCTTTCCCTGACCCCCTTCCCAGATGTACGTCCCCGGGAAGCTCTCGGACGTGGAGCGAGTCCTCATTGACATCGGCACCGGGTACTATGTGGAGAAGGTGAGGGGATGGGGTGGGGAGATGCTCTTGGGTTTGGGCCTCAGAGCTCCCCATCACCCCCTTTTCCCCCTTTTCCTCACCCAGGAAAAAGAGGGAGATGGGAGTGGAGGGGATGGAAAAGAGGGTGAGGGAAAAGGAGGAAAAAGGGGACGGGGGGGGGGAAGGGGAAACTTCTCCCTGCCCTTTTCTCCTCCTTCCTTTTTTCCCCCATGATGCCTTCCCTGTTTGAGGGAAGGGAAAGGGGAGAAACCTTTCCCTTCACCCCCTTTTTTCCTTCTCTTTCCCCCCCTTTCCCCCCCATTTTCCCCATTCCCCCCCCATCCCAGTCAGCCGATGATGCCCGGGACTTCTTCAAGCGGAAAATCGACTTCCTGACAAAGCAGATGGAGAAGATCCAGCCGGCGCTGCAGGAGAAACACGCCATGAAGCAGGGTGAGAGCCCTGCTCCCCCCCTCTATCCCTGCCCCTGTGGGGTGCAGCACCCCCTTCCTGACCCCCTGCTCTCCCCACAGCTGTAGTGGAAGTGATGAGCCAGAAGATCCAGCAGCTCACGGCCCTGGGCGCAGCACAAGGAGCCACCACCAAGGCGTAGCCTCCACCCTCACCCTGGGATGCAGCAGAGGCCAGTGGGGGGGGGACCTGTGGGGCACTGCCCCCCTTTCCCTACCTCTCCTCGTCCCCATTCCCTGCTGGCTCTGCCCAGCAGCACCGGAGCCCTGTTTTTGTAAGCAGCATGGAATAAATGGGACTTCTCAACAGGGGGGCTCTGTGGCCGCACCTCTTGGAGCAGCCTCATCCCAGCAATGCCCCTTTCCCCTAAACACACTCCAGTGTCCCCAGACAGAGCTTTATTCCCAGCAGAGGCCCCGTCCAGCCCCGCTCCACTGGCACAGGGACCCCCCCGCGGCTCCCACCCCTGTCCCTCCCCCCGGTATCTACATCCATGGGGCCACCCCATTGCGGGGGGGGCACTGAGGTCCAGTCCAGGGCCACTGGGGCTCACATGCAGGGCAGTGGGGTCTGGTGGGGCTTGAGGCACCTCATTCCATGCTTATGGCAGTCCATGTGTTCCTGTTGAGGTGACAGCCTCATCCCCTGCCCATAGCTCAGTCCATGTGTTCCTGTTGAGGTGACAGCCTCATCCCCTGCCCATAGCTCAGTCCTTATGTCCCTGTTGAGGTGACAGCCTCATCCCCCTGCCCATACCTCAGTCCATGTGTCCCTGTTGAGGTGACAGCCTCATCCCCTGCCCATAGCTCAGTCCATGTGTCCCTGTTGAGGTGACAGCCTCATCCCCTGCCCGTAGCTCAGTCCATGTGTCCCTGTTGAGGTGACAGCCTTGTCCCCCTGCCCATAGCTCAGTCCATGTGTCCCTGTTGAGGTGACAGCCTCGTCCCCCTTCCCATAGTTCAGTCCATGTGTCCCTGTTGAGGTGACAACCTCGTCCCCCTGCCCATACCTCAGTCCATGTGTTCCTGTTGAGGTGACAGCCTCGTCCCCCTGCCCATAGTTCAGTCCATGTGTCCCTGTTGAGGTGACAACCTCGTCCCCCTGCCCATACCTCAGTCATGTGTCCCTGTTGAGGTGACAGCCTCCTCCCCTGCCCATAGCTCAGTCCATGTGTCCCTGTTGAGGTGACAGCCTCATCCCCCTGCCCATAGCTCAGTCCATGTGTCCCTGTTGAGGTGACAGCCTCATCCCCCTGCCCATAGCTCAGTCCATGTGTCCCTGTTGAGGTGACAGCCTCATCCCCCTGCCCATAGCTCAGTCCATGTGTTCCTGTTGAGGTGACAGCCTCGTCCCCCTTCCCATAGTTCAGTCCATGTGTCCCTGTTGAGGTGACAACCTCGTCCCCCTGCCCATACCTCAGTCCATGTGTCCCTGTTGAGGTGACAGCCTCCTCCCCTGCCCATAGCTCAGTCCATGTGTCCCTGTTGAGGTGACAGCCTCCTCCCCTGCCCATAGCTCAGTCCATGTGTTCCTGTTGAGGTGACAGCCTCGTCCCCCTTCCCATAGCTCAGTCCATGTGTCCCTGTTGAGGTGACAACCTCGTCCCCCTGCCCATACCTCAGTCCATGTGTCCCTGTTGAGGTGACAGCCTCCTCCCCTGCCCATAGCTCAGTCCTTGTGTCCCTGTTGAGGTGACAGCCTCATCCCCCTGCCCATAGCTCAGTCCATGTGTCCCTGTTGAGGTGACAGCCTCGTCCCCCTGCCCATAGCTCAGTCCATGTGTCCCTGTTGAGGGGACCTTGTCCCCCTGCCCATAGCTCAGTCCATGTGTCCCTGTTGAGGGGACCTCGTCCCCCTACCCATACCTCAGTCCATGTGTCCCTGTTGAGGTGACAGCCTCATCCCCCTACCCATAGCTCAGTCCATGTATCCCTGTTGAGGTGACAGCCTCGTCCCCCTGCCCATAGCTCAGTTCATGTTTCCCCCAGCTCCATGTCACCACATCCCCCTGCCTGTGGCAGTCCCTATGTCCTGTTGAGGTTTCACTTTGTCCTCCTACCCACAGCTAAGTCAGTGTCCTCCAGCTCCATGTCACCTCATCCCCCTGCCCATAGCTCACTCCCTGTGTCCCCTGTTTCGGTGTCACCTCATCCCCCTGCCCACAGCTCACTCCCTGTGTCCCCGATTACGGTGTCACCTCATCCCCTTGCCCATCCCATAGCTCACTCCCTGTGTCCCCTGTTTCGGTGTCACCTCATCCCCTGCCCACAGCTCACTCCCTGTGTCCCCAGCTCCGCATCACCTCATTCCCCTGCCCATAGCTCACTCCCTGTGTCCCCCGTTATGGTGTCACCTCATCCCCTGCCCACAGCTCACTCCCTGTGTCCCCAGCTCCGCATCACCTCATTCCCCTTGCCCCCGGCCCAGTCCCTGCTCCCCGGTGCCACCCTCAGGGCACGAACAGGGGCTTGTGGACACGCTTGTGGCGGTTGAGCGTGGCGCTGCGGGCGAAGCTCTCCCCGCACTCCACGCAGATGAAGGGCTCGTGCCCGTGCGCCTGCGCCCGGTGCCGCTCCAGCTCGGTGCCATCGCGGCAGCTCTGCCCGCACTCGGGGCAGGCGGCGGGGGCCTGGCCGCGGGCGGCGTGGACGCGCTGGTGCTTGAGCAGGTTGGTGCTCTGGGCGAAGCCGCGGCCGCACTGCGCGCACCGGTGGGGCCGCGCGCCCGAGTGCGTGCGCTGGTGCTTGATGAGGTTCTTGCTCTGCGTGAAGCTCTTCCCGCACTGCCCGCAGCTGTAGGGCTTCTCGCCGGTGTGGATGCGCTGGTGCTGGATGAGGTTGGAGCTCCAGCTGAAGCTCTTGCCGCAGTCCCCGCACCGATACGGCTTCTCCCCGGTGTGGGTCCGGCGGTGCTGCACCAGGTGCGAGTTCTGGCTGAAGCTCTTCCCGCACTCCCCGCACGTGCTGGGCCGCTCCCCGGTGTGAGTCCGTTGGTGCCGCAGCAGCTTGGACCAGTGGCTGAAGCTCTTCCCGCACTCGTTGCAGATGAAGGGGCGCTGGCGCCCGCCCCGGTGCCGTGTACCCCCCGCTTCCTCCTCCTCCTCGCCATAGCCCCCCGTTGATGTGGCGGCGCCGGAGCTGGGTTGTGCCCCCCGTTTCTTGGCTTTGGGGGGCAGGGGGCTGTGCGGGATCACGGTCTGGATGATCTCGTGGGGTAGGACCTCATCGCAGTCACTCACGATGCCGTCATCGGCTGCGGGGAGCGGAGAGGGAGGCTGGGGATGGGGCTGACACCCCCCCATAGAACCACACAACCCCAGCCTGGATTGGGTTGAAGGGGCCTTAAAGCTCCTCCGGCTCCAGGGACCCCTTCCACTGGAGCAGGGTGCTCCAAGCCCCTGTGTCCATCCTGCCCTTGAGCGCTGCCAGGGATGGGGCAGCCACAGCTTCTCCATTCCAGCATCCCAACACCCTCATGGGGAAGAACTTCCCCATATCCCATTGAACTCTTCCCTCTTCCACTTGGAAGCCCAAACTCCTCATCCCACCCCTCCATCCCCTGTCCCAAGCCCCTCTCCAGGTTCCCTGCAGCCCCTCCAGGCTCTGGAGCTGCTCTCAGGTCCCCCCTTCCCACAGCAGAGGGGCAGGATCCCCTCCCGGAGCTGCTGCTCCCACTCTGGGGGTGCAGCCCCGCACTGAGGGGGGGTTCTGGGCTCCGGCTCTCCCTGAAGCCGGCTCATGGGGAGCTCCCCATCGGTCCATGGGGACAGGACCCCCCCCCCCAGCCCCCTCCTCACCGATGTAAACCCTCCGGACCACGTCCCCCTCGTCCGAGTCGTGCAGCTCCACCACGCAGGGCTCCTCCTGCTCCATGGGGGCGGCCGCCGGGGGGGGGCCTGCAGGGAAAGGGGGAGCCCTCAGCACCCCCCAGCTCACACAGGGGACACCCCCACCCCCAGGCTCCCGAACCCCATCCCCTGCTCCTCCCGCATCCCCTTTGGCTCAGGGTGAGCCGGGGCCTGGCCAGAACCAATGGGAGGAGTGGGGGGGGGAAGGTCCCTCTGTGCCCCCCCCAATCCCCTCATGCACCCCAAATCCCTTTGTCCTCCATCACATCCCTTCACCCCCCCCAACCCCTCTGTGGGATTCCCTCATCCCTTTGTGCCCCCCCCATCCCTTCATGCACCCCAAAACCCTGTGTGCCCCCCCCATCACCCCCCATTACCTGTGCCCAGGGGGGGTCTCGGGGGGACTCCTGCTGCTGCTCCCCACGGCTCTGCCCTAGCGCTGGACCCCAAAACCTGGCGGGGGGGGGGGCACAGACACAGGAGGTCACAACCCGGGGGGGGGTCACTTGTTCCCCACCCCATGGACCTGCCCCCCCCATTCACCCCCCACAGGGAGGCTGTAACCCCCCCCCGTACCCCCCCGCTCGGGTCCTGCAGCACTGGGGGGGGGTGGATCCGTCCTTAGGGGTCCCGGTGCTGAGGGGGGGGGGGCGGTTCCGGGACCCCCCCGAGCATCCCCGCTTCTGGTCCCGGTTCCCCCCGTGCCGCCCCCCCCCCCTCCCCGCGCACCGGCCCCGTTGCGGCGGCTCCGCCGCTTCCGCCGCTTGCCCGGCCCGAGGGGGCGGTGGCTCCGCGGGCCCGGCTCCTCGGGGGGGGCTGGAGGGGGGGGGGGTACCCCCGGTACCACCCCCGGTACCACCCCCGGTACCGCCCCCGGGCGCGGGGCTGCGTCCGCAGCACGGCCGGAGCGCCCCGAGGTGCCTGCAGCGCCCATTGGGATGCTCTGTGCACCCCAAAGTGCCTGCATCCCCATCCATGGCGCCTGCAGCACCCCGAAAGGGCCTTGGTACCCACACGGGTGCCCACTGCACCCCAAAATGCTTGTACCCCCCTCCTGGGGTGCCTGATGCTTCCTGTACCCCTCTCCATGGTGCCTGGGGCACCCCAAAAGGGCCTTAACACCCCCCCAGGGTGCCTGGTGCACCCCAATAGGTGCCTGTACCTCTCTTCTGTAATGCTCTGTGCATCCCCAAAGTGCCTGCATCCCCATCCATAGCGTCTGCAGCACCCCAAAAGAACCTTGGTACCCACAAGGGTGCCCACTGCCCCCCCAGAATGTTTGTACCCCCCTCCTGGGGTGCCTGGTGCTCCCTCAAAGGTACCTGTACCCCTCTCCATGGTGCTTGCAGCACCCCAAAAGGGCTTTAACACCCCCCCAGGATGCCTGATGCACCCCAATAGGTGCTTGTACCTCAGGAGCACCCCAACAGTGTCTGCATTTCCCCCCCCGAGGATTCCCAGTGCACCCCAAGGTGCTTGTACCCTCCTCCCAGGTTGCCCGGTGCACCCCAAAAGCACCTTCACCCCCACAGGATTCCCAGTGCATCCCAAAGGTGCCTGTCCTGGTCCCCTGGGGTGCCTCATGCACCCCAATAGTGCCTGCATCGCCCCCATGATGCCCATTGCACCCCAAAGGTGCCTGTACCCCTTTTCCTTGGTGACTGATGCACAGCAAAGGCACCTGCGCCCCCCAATCCGTGGTGCCCAGCAGTGCCTGTACCACCCCAAAGATGCTCACTGCACCCCAAAGGTGCTACATCCCTCCCAGGATGCCCACTGCACCCTAAAGGTGCCTGTATCCCTTCCCCATGGTGCCTGATGCACCCCAAAGGTGCCTGCACCCCCGCACCCGTGGGCCCCCAGCAGTGCCGGTACCACCCCAAAGATGCTCAATGCACCCCAAAGGTGCCCACAGTCCCCCCTTGCGGTGCCCACTGCATCCAAGGGTGCCCAGTAAGGTGCCCCCCCCCAAGCTGTTCAATGCACCCAGTGCACCCCAAAGCTCCCCAGAGCACCCCCAGGTCTTCCAGTGCCCCTCAGAGCTGCTCATTGCAGGTTGGGGGGGGGGGGGCAGGTCCCCTCACAGGCGCCCCCCCATCTCGATGCCCCCCATCTCCGGGCTGTTTTGGGGGGGGTCTGTGGCTATTGGGGGGCCTAAAGCAGCCCCATCCCCAGCCCAGCGCTGCACCCGCGGGGGGAAACTGAGGCATTGATCCCCCCCGCGTGTCCATTGACCCTAAATGGGAGGCCCCCCCAATGGGGGGGTCATGGAGCAGCTCCCTTTATTGGGGGGCTGGGGCCGAGCTGAGCCCCCAACACATCAATGGGGGGGACAAGGGGTCTCGGAGCATCGCGCAGAGGGGGGGCACGGGCACTGCAGGGCTTTTGCCCCCCCAAACCCTCCCTTTCCCCCCACCCCTCCCCCTCCCCCTGCCTCAGTTTCCCCCCCCTTTACCCCCCGTTGATGTCCGGGGGGGGCCGCAGCGCTGGGGCACAAAGGAACCGGGAACCCCCCCCCCCGCTCCAGCACCGCTCCACAGCGGCTCCGCACCCCCGGCCCGAAATGGGGGTACCCAGTTTACAGCGTGGGGGGGGTCCCCATCCTCCTGCATCCCCCCCCATCAACCCCAAGGGCAGAGGCCCATCCATGTGTGTGTGCCCCCCCCATCCAAACCCAACGGCCCCCAACTCACCTCTGCGGGGCTGCAGCGCTGGGAAGGGGCGCAGGGCTCGGGGATGGGGGGGTCCCGGTGAAGGGTCCGGGATGGGGGGGGGGACACGGACACAGGCGATGCGCGGAGCTCGAGGCTGCTGCAGGGGGAGGCTGGGAACAGGAAGGTCCCAGCCTCATCCCATTCCCCGGCCCCGCTGGCGCCGGATGCGCTTTTCCCCCTCGGAGCGGGGACAACGCGAGGGGGGAGCCTCGGATAAAGGAGGGGGGGGGGGCCTAACCCACGACACCCCCAAACCCGACAGAGATATGGGGGGGAGGAGGGGGGCAGATGCTCCTGGTGACGGGAAATCCGGGACTCAACCCGGGATTCAAGCCGGGATAAGGGGTGCTTTTATAACCGCTCCGCTTGGAAAACGTTCCGGAGTAGGGGTGGAACGCGGATGGGTTTTGGGGGGGGGGGAACGGAGGGAAATGAGCGAACGGATCCCCCCTATATCCCCCCCCCCATCGCTTTGTGTAACGGTTCCGGCTCCAGCCCCGCGTTTTCCGCCCCCCCGGCGAAGGAAAAGGGTTGGGAATTGTGCAACGAGGCCGGAGCACGGGATCGGCCCCAGCGCCGAGGGCCCCCCCCCTCCCCGGGGGTGCAATGGGGGGGTGCAAAGGGGGACCCCCCCCCGCCGTCCCGTCCTTGCGCTGCGGGATCCGGCCCCGAGGGCACCGGGATCGGCTCCAGCCGCGGCAGAGCGGGAGGACGGGAAAACGCTGCCCATGGCGGAGCCGGGACCGCGCCATTGCCGCGGCCGCCGCCCCGGCCCCCGGCGGATCCGGATCCCGATCCCTGCGGTGATGCCCCGGGAGCGCCGCTGCTCGGGAACCGTTTATTGAGCTCCTCGGTTTGGGGGTGCTGAGCCCCGGCCCCCCTGCGGGAGATCGGCCCCGCTCCCACCCGACGTGGACCCCGGCCCCGCGATGCCGGTGCCCACTGGTGGGGATGCGCCCCAAAGGCATCTCCTTCCTGCGGCACTCATCCCGGTGTCCCCTGCATCCCCATCCCAGTGTCCCCATCCCCATCCCAGCATCCCCATCCCAGTGTCCTCATCCCCATCCCAGCATCCCCATCCCAGTGTCCCCATCCCCATCCCAGCATCCCCATCCCAGTGTCCTCATCCCCATCCCAGCATCCCCATCCCAGTGTCCTCATCCCCATCCCAGCATCCCCATCCTAGTGTCCCCATCCCCATCCCAGCATCCCCACCCTGGTGTCCCTATCCTGGCATCTTCATCATCATCCTGGCATCCCCATCCTGATGCCCCCATCCCCATTCCAGTGTCCCCATCCCAGTGTACCCATCTTGAACTCTTCATCCGCATCCTGATGTCCCCATCCTGGTGTCCCCATCACAATGTCCTCTTCCTGGACTCTCCATCCCCATCCTGATGTCCCTATCCCAATGTCCCCATCCTGGTGTCTCCATCCCTTCATCCCCATCCCAATGTCCCCATTCTGTTGCCTCCATCCCCATCCCAGTGTCCCCATCTTGGACCCGCCATTCCCATCCTGATGCCCCCATCCCAGTGTCCCCATCCTGGTGTCCCCATCACAATGTCCTCTTCCTGGACTCTCCATCCCCATCCTGATGTCCCTATCCTGATGTCCCTATCCCAATGTCCCCATCCTGTTGTCTCCATCCCTTCATCCCTATCCCAGTGTCCCCATCCTGGTGTCTCCATCCCAGTGTCCCCATCCCAGTTTCCCCATCTTGGACTCTCCATCCCCATCCTGATGCCCCCATCCCCATCCCAGTGTCCCCATCATGGACTCGCCATCCCCATCCTGATGCCTCCATCCCCATCCCAGTGTCCCCATCATGGACTCGCCATCCCCATCCTGATGCCTCCATCCCCATCCCAGTGTCCCCATCCCAATGTCCCCATCCCTTCATCCCCATCCCAACGTCCCCATCACACGGCGTGAAGCTTCAGGTGCCGACGGAGCTGGGACTTGTGCCGGAAGCCATCCCCGCACTCGGCGCAGACGTGGGGCCGCTCGTCGGTGTGGGTGCGCCGGTGCCGGATGAGGTTGGAGCTGACGCTGAAGCGCTTCCCGCACTCCCCGCAGCCGTAGGGCCGCTCCCCGGTGTGGGTCCGCTGGTGCTGGATGAGCGCCGAGCTCTCGCTGAAGCGCTTCCCGCAGGCGCCGCAGCCGTAGGGCTTCTCGCCGGTGTGGATGCGCCGGTGCGTCACCAGGTTGGAGTTCTGGCTGAAGCCTTTGCCGCAGGCGCCGCACCTGAAGGGCTTCTCTCCGGTGTGGGTGATCTGGTGCCGCGCCAGGTCCGAGCTGCGGCTGAAGCCCTTCCCGCACTCGCTGCAGATGGTGGGGCGCAGCCCCCCCAGCTCCCGCAGCAGCCCCAGGCCCCCCGCTTGTCCCGGTGCTTTGGCTGCTCCATGGGCCGGTGCCTTCCGTTGCGGACGCGCTGGGTGCATGGGAGAACCCCTGCCCGATGCCGGCGGGATGGGGTGGGCTGTGGGGAGAGGAGAGCTGGGCACCAGCAGGACGCACTGGTATGGGTGGCACCGAGGGGTTGCGTCCCCCCTGTGCCATCCCTTTTCCACCTTCTCTATCCCTGTTCCTCCTTCTCCATCCCCTCTTCCCCTTCCCCATTTGTTCTGCCCCTTCCCCACCTCCTCTTCCCCTTCTCCATCACTATTCCTCCATCCCTTTTCTAACTCCATGCCCTCTTCCCCTTCTCCATCTCTTTTCCACCTTCTCCATCCCTTTTCCACCTTACAACCCGTCTTCCCTTTCTCTATCCCCTCTTCCCTGTTCCCTCTTCCCCTTCTTCATCCTCTTTTCCACCTTTCCCATTCCCTCCTCCCCTTCTCCATCCCTTGTTCCCTTCTTCATCCCCTTTTCCATCCCTCTGTCCCTCCTCCATCCCCTCTTCCCCTTCTCCATCCCTTTTCTACCTTCATCCCATCTTCCCTTTCTCTATCCCCTCTTCCCCATTCCCTCTTCCCCCTCTTCATCCCCATTTCCACCTTTCCAATCCCCTCTTCCCCTTCTTCATCCCTTCTTCCCTTCTCTGTCCCCTTTTCCACCTTCCCTATCCCTCTGTCCCTTCTCCATCCCCTCTTCTCCTTCTTTACCCCCTTCCCACCTTCCCCATCCCCTCTCTGGTTTGGGGACAGCAGTGACACTCCTGTCCCACTCCCAAGCACAGGCTCAGCTCCCAGTGCAGCCCCTGCTCCATGTCCTGCACCCCAGGATCAGATCATCCCCATGCCATGGGACTGGGACATCCCTGTGCCCCAGCATCGGGGCACTGTCATGCAGTGGGATCAGAACATGCCCACACCATGGGATCAGGATGTCCCTGCACCCCAGAACTGGGACATCCCCATGGTGTGGGAGCAAGGTACCCAAGATCAGATCATCACCACGCCATAGGACGGAGACATCCCTGCATCCCGGGATCAGTGTCCCCATGCCACAGTGATGGGGGATCCCTGCATCCCTAAACTGAGGCCTCCCCAGGCCACACAGCAGGGACGTCCCTGCTCCCTGGGACTGGAGCATCCCTGTGCTGTGGGGCTGGGACATCCCTGCAGTGTGGGATTGAGGTACGTGGATGCCACAGGAATGGGGAACCCCTGCACCCCGGCATTGGGATTGTGCCACAGGCATGGAACATCCTCTAACCACAGATCAGAGCATCCCCTCACCATGCACTGGGACATGGGGTACCCCCATGCCACAGGACCTGGGTACCTGCACCCCAGGACTGGAGCATCCTCTCCTTCTGTAACCAGGGCAACCCCAGGCCAAGGGATGGAGGCACCCCCATACCTTGTAATCAGGACAACTCCATGCCATGGGAATGGACATCCCTGGATCCCTTGTAATACCCCCATATCCCAGGATCAGGATACCCCATGCAATGGGAATGGACATCCCTGGATCCCTTATAATATCCCCTGTACCCCAGGAATAGGGTATCCCATGTAATGGGAATGGACATCCCTGGATCCCTTATAATATCCCTTGTACCCCAGGAACTGGGTATCCCATGCAATGGGAATGCCACATCCCTGGATCGCTTATAATATCCCCTGTACCCCAGGAACAGGGTATCCCATGCAATGGGAATGGACATCCCTGGATCGCTTATAATATCCCCTGTACCCCAGGAACAGGGTATCCCATGCAATGGGAATGGCACATCCCTGGATCCCTTATAATATCCCCTGTACCCCAGGAACAGGGTATCCCATGCAATGGGAATGGACATCCCTGGATCCCTTATAATATCCCCTGTACCCCAGGAACAGGGTATCCCATGCAATGGGAATGGCACATCCCTGGATCCCTTATAATATCCCCTGTACCCCAGGAACAGGGTATCCCATGCAATGGGAATGGACATCCCTGGATCGCTTATAATATCCCCTGTACCCCAGGAACAGGGTATCCCATGCAATGGGAATGGCACATCCCTGGATCCCTTATAATATCCCCTGTACCCCAGGAACAGGGTATCCCATGCAATGGGAATGGACATCCCTGGATCGCTTATAATATCCCCTGTACCCCAGGAACAGGGTATCCCATGCAATGGGAATGGCACATCCCTGGATCCCTTATAATATCCCCTGTACCCCAGGAACAGGGTATCCCATGCAGTGGGAATGGCACATCCCTGCACCCCAGGGCTGGGGTACCTCTGTGCTATGGGATCATTGTACCCCCATACTCTGGGGTATCCTTGTGCCATGGGGATGGAGCTGGAATACCCCTGTGATGTGACATCGGGGTGCCCCCATGCCATGGGAAGAGGACATTCCCCATCCCTGGAGCACCCCCATAGTAGGAATCAGAGCAGCCCCACACAATGGGAAGGGGAGGACCCCCCATAAGGACTCAGCACCCCACAGGGGACACCACAGCCCCTCACCATAGCCAGGAGCTGCTCTGTTTTGGGGGGGGGGGGGATCCTCACCTGTGGGGGTCCCCTCTGGCACCTCCTGTGGGTCCCGGGTGGGCGCCTTCCCCTCCGCATCCATCGCCGCCATCCCAGCACGCTCAGATGGGACGATCCTGACCGGGATAGGGGGGGCAAAGAGATGGGGTGACACGGGAGGGGGGTCCCCATCCCATCCATGCCTCAGCTCCTGATACCGGGGGGGCACCAAGCCCATGGGTTGCGGTTTGAGGCATCCCCATCGCGAACCCCCCTTCCCCTCCTGAAGCCCCCCGAGCATCGCCATCATCACGGGAAAGGGGAAAAAGGAGTGGGGGGTCCCCTGTTCTGCCTCTTGTTTTGGGGGGTGGGTGTCCCTGCCCCACTCACCGCTGCAGCCGGCCCGGCCCGGAGGGGAGCGGGGCCGCGGCGGAGCGGGCTGTCCTCATGGCCGCCCTCGGCTGCCGCATGGCGCGGCCGCGGGGCCCCGGGGCTGTGCCCCCCCCCCCCTCCATGGTGTGTGTGTGTAGGGGGGGATTTGGGGTGTTTGGCCCCCCCCACCATGGTGGGTCTGGGGCGGATTTGGGGGTGACCCCCCCCCATGGCGGGTCTGGGGGCACTAGGCCTCGTTGCCATGGTGACACCAGGACCGGGATACCCCCCGCCATCGCTCCAGGTTGAGGCCATGGAACCCGGCGGGTCCACAGGGAGACAACGGATTGGTGGAGAGGGAGCAGGGGGGCGGAGCTTGCGGGCGGGAACGGGAAGCGATTGGAGAAACGCAAAGAGCAGGAGGGGGGGTGCGACACCGCTGAAGGCGGGGAAGAGGCGGAGCCTCGAAGGACGCCGGGAGCCGGATTGGTGGAGAGGCGGCGGGGAAGGGGCGTGGCATCTTTTTGCGCATGCGCTGAGGCGTCACTTCCGGGTGGCCGCGGCTTCCGTCTGTTTCTGGGCCTGGAGTAGCCGCGCTGGGGCTGCGCGAACACCCGGGACCACCCCCTCACGGGACCCCCGTTAATACCGGGACCCCCCCCGGGCTCCCCCGCTCCTCCCGCCGCGCTCGCTGCGGCCTGGGCAGCGCCGCCGCCCCTGCCCGCCGCACCGGAGGGGGAGCCGCTGAGGGCCTGTGGCCGGGGGCTCGTCGGGGCCGCCCGGGGCATGCGGCCGCGGCCGTCGGCCCCGCACTATGTGGTACATCATGCAGAGCATCCAGAGCAAGTACTCGCTGTCGGAGCGGCTCATCCGCACCATCGCCGCCATCCGCTCCTTCCCGCGGGACAACGTGGAGGATCTCATAGGCAGGGTGAGACCCCAGCCAGGCCCGCAGCGCTCGGACAGGGGCTTAGGGGAGGGCTCCGCCGTGGGACACCCCGGCCGGTGCCCCGGAGCTGCGGGCCGGTTCCACGCTGGAGGGCCAGGCCGCGGGTATCGGTCCCCGCTGTTTGAACACCCGTGAGGGTGAGGGGCTGGTGGGCCTGGAGCCCGTCCTTGCCCCTTCGGAGGGTGGATCTGGAGCTTTGCCTAGGTCGGGGCAACCAATGGTACCAGCACAGGTTGGGGATGGAGGGGTTGAGAGTAACCCTGAGGGGAAGGACTTGAGGTGTTGGGTGAGGAGAGGCTCCCCATGAGCTGGCTTCAGTGGGCGCTTGAGCCCAGAACCCCCCGTGTGCTGGGCTGCACCCCCAGAGCGTGAGCAGCAGCTCAGGGAGGGGATCCTGCCCCTCTGCTGTGCTCTGGGGAGACCCCCCCTGCAGCCCTGATCCAGCTCTGGGGCAGCAGCACAAGAGGGACGTGGAGCTGCTGGAGGGAGGCCAGAGGAGCCCATGGGGATGCTGCGAGGGCTGGAGCAGCTCTGCTCTGGAGCCAGGCTGAGAGAGCTGGGCTGGGGCAGCCTGGAGAAGAGAAGGCTCTTTAAGGGGAGATCTTATCGTGGCCTTTTAGTTCTTAAAGGGCCCTGTAAGAAAGATGGAGAGAGACTTTTCAGCCAGGCCTGTTGTGACAGGACGAGGGGTGATGGTTTTAACTAGAAGAGGAGATTCAGTCTGAGTGTGAGGAAGGAATCCTTTGCAATGAGGGTGGTAAAACCCTGGCACAGATTGTGCAGAGGGGTGATGGATGCCCCATTCCTGGAGACGTTCCAGGCCAGGCTGGATGTTCTGGGCTACCTGATCTAGTTGAAGATGTCCCAGCTTATTGAGGGGGAATTAGCGTAGATGAGCTTTAAGGTCCCTCCCAACCCAAGCTGTTCCATGATTCACCTCAGCCTGGGTCACTCCTGTGGGCACTGAAGAGCCCTGGCTGTGCCTGACGGCTCCGGGCAGCTGCTGAGCTATTTCGGGTGGTGATGCCTCTGCAAAGCATCATAAACCTCCTTGGAGACACCCTTGGAAAGCCACTGAGCCCCTGGGTTTAGCTCAGGGCTGTGTCCCACCAGGGATGCTCCCATGCAATGCCAGAACCTTACTGGTGGCTTCTGAACCACTGCTGGTGAGCCAGAGACCCCAGTTCCCTTTCCAACCCCTCCTCTGTGCCCATCCAGCCTCACACCAGCCATTCCTTAAGATGCCTCTGGAGCAGAGAGTCTGCACATGGAGGGTAATCAGCAGCCTGGTTATCCTGCAGCACTCGGTGTCTTCAGGCATCATTTAGTGATGATGAATGAACTAAACCCAAAGCCTGGAGCAATGCACGGGCTGTTGAGAGCTTCTGCCGCTCGGGGAGCTCCGTGCAAGCACTGAAGCAAGCCCCCAGGCTGTGCAGGAGCGGTAATGACACTTCTCCATTAACAAACCTCTGATGGGGGGGCTGGAGACGCTGTTTGGGTGGGAAGGGCCAGGCTGGGCCGGTTTACTGATCCCAGCTGGGCTTTACTGTGCTCTCCAGGGTGCAGATGTGAACTGCATGCACGGGACGCTGAAGCCGCTGCACTGCGCCTGCATGGTGGCTGATGCCGACTGCGTTGAGTTGCTGCTGCAGAAGGGAGCAGAGGTAAAGGCCTTGATACAATAAAAGCACTGTAAAAAGTTAAAGGGCCCTTTGAAACAGGGGGCTGGGGAGTTGGGGGGCTGGGGCTGGAGCCCATGGGTTTATGTGGTGCTGGTTTTGTGCTGGTGGAGGTCAGCGTAAACCTCATGGGGTTCAGTGAAGCCTCCAGGCTTGGGAGACCTTAGAGCAGCTCCAGTGCCTAAAGGGGCTACAAGAAACCTGGAGAGGGGCTTGGGACAAGGGCCTGTAGGGCCAGGCCAAGGGGAATGGCTTGAACCTGCCCGAGGGGAGACTGAGCTGAGCTCTTAGGCAGAAGCTCTTCCCTGTGAGGGTGCTGAGGCGCTGGCACAGGGTGCCCAGAGAAGCTGTGGCTGCCCCATCCCTGGCAGTGCTCAAGGCCAGGTTGGACACAGGGGCTTGGAGCACCCTGCTCCAGTGGAAGGGGTCCCTGCCTGTGGCAGGGGTTGGAGCTGGAGGAGCTTGAAGGTCCCTTCCAACCCAACACATTCCATGGTTCTATTGTTTCATGCCCCTTGCAAGGTAAAATGGGCCCAGGTGAAGGTTTCTCATCCCAACAGGGAGTGCAGTGTTTGTGCCTGAGGTCTTGGGGTGCCCTTTCATGTGGGAGATGGAAGCCTGAAGGAAATGAAACCTTTATAGTGCCTCATTTTTGGCCCTTCCTTCTGGCTGCTCTTCAGATCAGGCCCCCCCACTCCCTGCCTCATCTTCCCATCCACTAGACTTGGGATTTAATGCCATGGAGCTTCCCCTGTTGCCCTCAGGACCCCTGAACCCCTTCTCCTCCCTCCCCTCCTGCAGGTGAACGCTCTGGATGGCTACAACCGAACAGCCCTTCACTACGCGGCGGAGAAGGACGAAACGTGCGTGGAAATCCTCTTGGAATACGGCGCCAACCCCAACGCCCTGGATGGGAACAAGGACACCCCCCTGCACTGGGCAGCCTTCAAGAACAACGCGGAGTGCGTGCGGGCGCTGCTGGAGAACGGCGCCCTGGTCAACGCCCGCGACTACAACAACGACACGCCACTGAGCTGGGCCGCCATGAAGGGCAACCTGGAGAGCGTCAGCGTCCTGCTCGACTTCGGCGCCGAGGTCCGCGTGGTCAACCTCAAAGGGCAAAGCCCCATCTCCCGTCTGGTGGCGTTGTTGGTGCGGGGCTTGGGGACGGAGCGGGAGGATTCCTGCTTCGATCTTCTCCATCGCGCTATCGGACACTTTGAGCTGAGGAAGAACGGGAGCATGCCCTGGGAGGTGACCAGGGACCAGCAGCTCTGCCAGAAGCTCACCCTGCTCTGCTCGGCCCCGGGGACACTGCAGACGCTGTCGCGTTACGCCGTGCGCCGCAGCCTGGGCGTGCGGTTCCTGCCGGAGGCCGTGAAGCAGCTGCCTCTGCCCACCTGCCTCAAGGAGTACGTGCTGCTGCTCAGCTAAGCCAAGGACGGGGCGCCGGGATGAAGGACGAGGATGGTTTGGGATTCGTGGGTGCTGCATTCCCCTCCCCACTCGCTGGTGTTCATCCTGCTCTGCCCAGCAGGGACCCACCGGTGCTGCTTGTGGTGTCTCTGTGCCCTCAGTGCCTGCTCGGCGGCTCCTGCCACGCTCTCCCTTCATGAGATGAACTGACCCCTTTCCATGGCAGATTACACCCCAGCTGATGAATTAACCTGGGTTTTCCCCTCTGTTTTGTTTGCCTTGTGGAAAGGAAAGCTTTCTAGGCATGAGGAGAGCAGGGAGACCCTCCTTTGGAGGCAGGAATGCAAGAGAAGGTGTTCTCAGACCCAGAGAATCCTGTGCGACGTGGATTAAGCCACCTTAAACGTGTGTAGTGAACCTGTGTGCAGCCAGCACCTTCGCTCAGCACTTGGATCCGCACATGGCAACAACACCCTGCAGATGGGAAGAGCTTGGGCGTCCTCATCCCCTCAATGCCTGGAAATGTGTTTTTCCCTCCTTATCTCCAGGATGTGTCACTGCTGTAGAGGGGAAGACGGTGGGAGCACCCCAAAAGCCAACACTTGGCTTCCTGCTCCACTTGGAGCTCAGGATGCTCCATGCCCCTGAGCAGAGAGAGGGTCTCCCCCCATCTGCCACACCATAACCCCCCTAAGCCCTTCCTTAGCTTTGGTTTTCACCATTAACTCACTGTTTGTTGTTGATTTTGTGTGTGTGTGTGTGTGTGTATGGACTTCAGGAGGAGGAGTGAGGATGTGCTGGCAGGGGGCACCGGGCAGGACCCCTGCAGGCAGTGCCCATTCTCCCTTTGCTCCGTCGTGTATCCATGGAAATAAACTTTGGAAAGTGCATGTGTATCACCCACTCGAGGCTGGGGATCAGCCCCACTCCTTTGGGGTCCTCCCTGAAGCGGGGAGGGTGCCTCAGGGTGCGGTTTGGGGGTGCTGCTGCTGATGGTCCCGTTCCTGTGCTTGGGTTTGGAACCTGACCCAGGCCCCATCCATGGTTGTGCCTGGGCAAACCCTCATCCCACCGAGCTCTGCATGGGTTTAACCTCTGAGCACAGCCTGAACCCTCTGATCCACCCTTCACCCCTTGGCCTGGGGAGGGTTTGAGATGCATCATCCTCCCGTGTGTGATTCCTCACCCTGGGATCCTCCAGGAGAGCTGCCCGTGCTCAGAAAGGTGAACTCAGGTGCCTCAACTTTGATCATTGCTTGAAACTTGGAGGGGGGGACCTCAGATTGGAGACGTTGGATTCCTCCCTGTTATCCTGGGAGACGAAGCCAGTGGGCCCAGGGGTGTGTGCAGGAGCCGTGTTCACCTTCCCATGGGATGAGCACCGGAGGCTGGAGCCTGACCCACATTTGCCACCACGAGTGAGTGAGGGGTTTATTGAAGCATCTTCATTGTGAATTGTTAAGACTAAAGTGCTGTCCCTGGGACTCTTGCTCTCAGCTCATTGTGACATCCCACCTACATGTGGGGAACTCCTTTTCTCCTTTAAAAGCCCATAAAATACCTAAACCAACCCCAGATTTACCCTTAGGAAGCCCTGTGATTGGGGAAAAGCAGCTTTGTGGCCACAGCAGCGGGTGCCCTTGGGGTGCAGAGCTGCTTGGGGTGCAGAGCCGTGCTCTCAGATGTTGGACTCGAGTGCGATCCCTTTGCGTGTGATGTGCTCCAGGTGGGCTTTCTCCGAGGTGTCCAGCTCGATGTTGTACTTGGCCAGGATCTTGAGGATGGGGCGAAGCTTCAGCCACCACTGCTCCTTCGGGATGCGGTGCCTGGATGGGAGACAGACAGCAACGTGATGGTCCTGCATGGGGACCACGAGCATCACTCGAGGGCAGCGTTCCCAGCCTGCGCTCATCCTTCTTGGGGCTGGAGCTCGGCCTCAGGGTTGGGGATCATGGGGACACCCACTCGAAGTCCGTCTCCTCCTTGAGGTCGATGAGGGGCTGGAAGACGAGGCTGCGCTTGCGCATTCCCAACAGGCAGGCTGAGTCCTTCGTGTTGGCAAAGATCCGGCCTGGAGGGAGGGAGGGAGCAGGCTCAGGATGGGGAAGCACCCCAACATCCGCAGGGGGCTTTCGCATTGAGGTGTAGGAGCTGGGGGGTGCTTTTGGCAATACCCCCCCCATGGCAGTGGGGATGTAAGCACAGCACCCACCGTGCCGGGTGCACTCCTTGATCTTCCCAGTGATCCAGGCCACAGCCTTGGCACCCATTTTGGTGCCGAAGTTCCTGTCGAAGGGGGTCGGGGTGCCACCCTGTGCCGGAAAAGTCATGGAATCATGGAATGGGTTGGGTGGGAAGGGACCTTAAAGCTCCTCCAGTTCCAACCATCTTCCACTAGAGCAGCTTGCTCCAAGCCCCATCCAACCTGGCCTTGAGCATCTCCAGTCGCTGGTGCACAGGTCCCCGTTGCCTGGGGGGTTCCCTACCTGCTGCATGTGCCCCAGCACGTTCTTCCTGCAGTCGAAGATGCCCTTCCCCTCCTCCGAGTAGAGGTTGTAGATGAAGTCCGTGGTGTAGTTCTCGTTGCACCGCTCATTCCTGCACCAAGGAAAGGGAGATGGGCTCATGGGGGTGACACGAGCATCGGTCTCAGCTCCCCTCCATCCCAACACAGGCACGTACCTGAGCACCAGCCCCCTCTTCACCATCGTCTTCATCTTCTCAGTTAGATGCTCCACGTTGACCTGCATAGAGCAGGAAACAGGCATTGGGAGCGCTTGGAAAGTGGGAATTAATGCAGCTCCCATTACCCTGGGGCTGCAGCACTGCCTGGAATGGGGGCTCCCAGCATGAGGGGGGGTCCCCAACCTGCAAGTCGTGGATGTTAAAGTGTTCCTCATAGATGTAGGCAGCGTCAGCACCGCCCGCCAGCCCCGCCATGGTGGCCAAGTAGCCGCAGAAGCCGCCCATGGTCTCGATGATGAAGACGCGGCGCTTGGTCCCCGCCGCTGACTGCTTGATGCGGTCACAGGTCTGCGGGGGGGCAGGAATTGGGGTGGAATAAAGGGATTTAGGTGAATGCTGCTGTCACACGGCGCGGGGGGCGCGGGGCCGCACCGTGGTGATGGTGTTGAGCGCGGTGTCGGCGCCGATGCTGAAGTCAGAGCCGGGGACGTTGTTGGAGACGGTGGCGGGGATGACGCAGAGGGGGATGCAGAGCTCCTCGAACTTGGCTCTTCCCTCTATCAGCTCCAGGCTGCCTGTGAATCCCTGTGGGGCACAGGGTGTTGGTGCTGCTGTGGTGCTGGTGCGGTGGGGCTGGTGCTGGTGCAGGCACCACGCCATTCACCTCGAAGCCGCCGATGATGATCAGTCCATGGATGCCGAAGTTGCTGATGTTGATGCTGATTTCCTCAAAGTATTTCTTGGGCAAGGTCCTGGGAAGGGGGAAAGCATCTGTGGATGAGGCTGCCTGGGGCAGGGGGGCTCAACCTGGGGACCCCCCATTACCTCTTTGTCCCCAGTTTGGATCCTCCCAGCCCTATCCAGCTGCCGACGCGGTCCCAGCTGATCTCTTCTATCTGGGGGTGAAGCAGCACGATAGAGGGGTACAGGAGGAGGATTTGGGGGTCAATATCACAGCATTATCGGGCTAACCCAGTGCTCCCCACACCAGGACCACCATCAGGATGAACCATGGTGGGGCTGGGGTTGAGCCTCCCCATCCCTGGGGATCCCCTTTCCCTATGGGGCCATGGCTGCTGGTTTTTGGGGCCATTCACCCTTTGCACCCTCCCATTCCCCAGGCTCCCACCTTGCCCTCGGCGAGCCCCTCGAAGCCATCGTGCACGGCCAGCATGCGGTGCCCGTGGATGAGCCCGATGCGCACGGTTGACCTGACAGCCGCGTTCATGCCGGCGGCCGGGGCGCCCACGTTGAGCACAGCCAATGTGTAACCACTCTGGGGGGGACAGAGCCGGTGTGGGGGGGCTGTGGGGTTCGGGGGGGGTCCCCGTCACCCCATCCCTGTGGCCGTACCTTGGTGGAGGGCGGGCGGATGTGCGCCAGCAGCTTGTAGACGTTCCAGTTGTTCTGGAAGCTCCTGCAGTGGGGGAGGCGGGTGAGGGACCCCGGGGTGGCCATGGCTCAGGGTGCTCTGTGGGGTCGGGGTGTGGGTGCTCACCGGCCCCGCAGCTTCAGGGCGTCCTCAAAGCGGCCCTCGTTCATCGCCGTCGTCACATCTTTGGTCTGCAGGGAGCAAAGGGGGTTTGGGTTGGGTGGGTTTGGGTTGGGTGGGTTTGGGTTGGGTGGGTTGGGTTGGATTGGGTTGGGTGGGTTTGGGTTGGGTTGGATGGGTTTGGGTTGGGTTGGATTGGGTTGGGTTGGATTGGGTTGTGTTGGGTTGGGTGAGTTTGGGTTGGGTTGGGTTGGATGGGGTTGGGTTGGATTGGGTTGGGTCGGGTAGGTTTGGGTTGGGTTGGGTTGGATGGGTTTAGGTTGGGTTGGGTTGGATTGGGTTGTGTTGGGTTGGGTGGGGTTGGGTTGGATTGAGTTTGGATTGGGGTGGGTGGGGTTGGATTGGGTTGGATGGGTTTAGGTTGCATTGGGTTGGATTGAGTTTGGATTGGTTTGGGTTGGGTTGGATGGGTTTGTGTTGGATTGGGTTGTGTTGGGTTTGGTTGGGTGGGTTTGGGTTGGATTGGGTGGATTTGGGTTGGTTTGGGTGGGCTTGGGTTGGGTTAGATGGGTTTGGATTGATTTGGTTGGGTTTGGACTGTGTTGGGTGGGTTTGGCTTGGGTTGAGTGGGTTTGGGTTGGGTGGGTTTGGGTTGGATTGAGTTGGTTTGGGTTGTGTTGGGTGGGTTTGTGTTGGGTTGGATTGATTTGGGTTGGGTTGGGTTGGGTGGGTTTGGGTTTGAGTTTGGGTTGAGTGGGTTTGTGTTTGGGTTGGGTTGGGTTTGTTTGGGTTTCGGTTGTCTTAGGTTGGTTTGGGTTGGATTGAGTGTGTTTGCACCCTCTCAGGTGGGTTTGTGCAGCATTGGGTGGCTTTGGGTTGCATTAGATGGGTTTAAATTACATTGGATGGGTTTAAATAGCATTGGATGGGTTTGCACCACATTGAATGGGTTTGCACAGCACTGGGTGGGATTGCACGGCACTGTGTGGGTTTTCATGGCGTTGGATGCCTTTACATGGCATTGGGTGGGTTTCCATGGTGCGTTTGACCCCCCTGGAGGCCCCGGCCCCTACTCACCACCTGCACACACTCCATCAGGGGCAGGCGCACGGCCTGGTTGCCCGAGAGGCTGATGACGCAGGCGGGGGTTTCAGGGGTCGCCTCCAGCAGTGCCATGACGGCTTCAACCCCCATGCGGCTCCCCTGGAGGGACAGGGCTGGGATGTTACCCCCCCAAACCCCCCCAGGACCCCAACCCCAAGGGCTGGGTGGGAGCTGCCTACCAGGATGCGGTCGAAGGCAGAGGGAGTCCCACCACGCTGCACATGGCCCAGGATGGTGACCCGGGTGTCGTATCCCAAACGCTTCACCACCAGCTGCAGGACAGGGATGCGCCTGGATCCGACCCCACAGCAGCACCGGGAAAGGGATGGGATGGGGACGGACCAAAAGGAGTTTCTCCCCCTGCCCCTGCTCACCGTCTTGATGTCATCGGCAGTGATGGCTTTGCCGTGCTTGTCGATGGCGCCTTCGGCCACGATGATGATGTTCAGCCTCGAGCCGCCCAGGCGGGTCTAGGGGGGAGCCAGGGGTGACAACGGGGACAGGGATGGGGACAAGGCACCCACCGGAGCTCGTCCTACCTCCGTCAGCCTCCGGCACAAGTGGTCCTCCCAGTCGTCCTCAGGGGGGGACTCGGGGATGAAGACCCAGTCGGCACCACAGGCCAGGGCAGTGATGAGTGCCAGGTACCTGCAATGGGGGGAAAGAGGTGATTTAGGGGGGGGGTTACCCCACTTTTTGATGGGTGCTCCAGGTGGCAGCACAGGGACGTACCCGCAGTGGCGCCCCATCACCTCCAGCACAAAGGTCCGCTGGTGGCTGCAGGAGACATGGGTTTCATCCTTCATCCCACAGGTCTTGGGATAGATTGGACTTGGGAGGGGATTGGACCACATTGGGCCCCCCACCCTGGCACAGGGGACACAGGGGGGTCCCCATCACCTCTGCGCCGTGGTGGTGATGGCATCCACGATCTCCATGATGCGATGCAGCGCTGAGTCGGTGCCGATGGTCATGTCAGTGCCGCAGAAGTCGTTGTCGATGGAGCCCACCAGCCCCACGATGTTGAGGTAACTCGACTTCTTCGCCTCCTCCGCCGTGATCCCTCCTGTTGCAATGGTGGGACACCCCCTTTTCCCTCTGCATCCCCCCTAGAACATCCCCTGGGGCCAAACCTCCAAAATGGGGAGAACCCCCCACATTTTGCATGTGAAAACTCCCATGTTTCGTGCATGAAACCCGCACGTTTCGGTCCCAAACCCCCTTCCTCACCCCACAGAATCACTTGTGGGGCTCACACACGTACCCCCTTTGACCAGCTCATCCAGGAGGCTGCTCCACTCGGCGCGGAAGGTGTCGGCACCGGTGAGGCTGCCGTCACCACCGATGACGCAGAGGTTGGTGATGCCGCGCTTCACCAGGTTCCGGGCGGCTTTGAGGCGTCCATCGCGCGTGCGGAAGTCCTGGCAGCGGGCGCTGCCGATGACCGTGCCCCCCTGCAGGACCCCAGCATCCCTGCATCCATCTGCCCGTCCCTTCCCACCCGGCTCTGGTGCGGGTCGCGCCAGGCACCGGGTGGCACCGAGCCCCATCCATCACCGCGCTCACCAGTTGCAGCATCATGGACACGCTCTCCCACGTGGCCTCCTTGATGTTGTCCCCCCCGTCCACCAGCCCCTGGTAGCCCTGGGAGGGAGGGGGACACACGGACACAAACACCCTGGTGTCAGGAATCCCCCCCCCCTTCCAGCTCTTGGCACATTGGGAATAGAGGGGGGGTCAGCACCAACCTCATGCACAAAGTAGACCTTGGCACCGGTGTAGATGCCCACCCGCACCACGGCGCGGACGGCTGCGTTCATGCCTGGGGGGGGGGGACAGGGACAGCGTCACTCTGGGACCCCCCCATCACCCCAAGGGACCCCCAAAGTCATCGTACACCCACCCCAGCCCCCCCAAATCGTGTTCCCAGCCCCGCAGCTGCCTGGGTTATTTTTGCCCCGGTGACATTTACCAGTGGTGCCGCATGACACCGGGTGACAGCACCATGGTGGGGGGGGGGGGAGAGATAGGGAGAGACCTCCATGGGCTGGAATCCCCCCCACTGAGGCCGCTTGGATGGAGGACGAGTTTTGGGCTGAATTCCTGCACTTTTGGGCAAACCCAGTGCTGGTTTGGTGCCTGAATGCTGCCAATGTCCCTTTAACCTCCATGAGGCACATGCACCCCCCTTGCACCCCAAAACTCCCCCCTTGAATCTGCCCCATGGCTTTGCCCCCCCCCAAGGTCACCCCCAAAACCACCCCCCAGAGAAAAGCACCCAAGCACCAAACCCAGCTCAGGATCCGGCCACCCAAACCCCAATTTCATCCTGTTTCTCCCCAAAGCGGGGGGCCCAGTCCCGGGTTTTGGGGTGTCCCTTACCCTGCGCGTCCCCCCCGGACGTGAGCACGGCAATGGCTTTGCCGATGCCCATGTTCTCGGCGTGTCCATGTCCCGACCGGCTCTGAGCCATCTTCTTGGCTGGAAAAAGAGGAGAATCAGGCAAAACTGAGGGGGTTTTCCACGTATCAGGAGGAGCGAGGTGCCCCCAGCTGCACCCATCGACTGCACCCACCGCTGGTACCCACCGCTGGTACCCACTGCTGGTACCCACCGCTGGTACCCACCGACTGCTCCCCCCAACTGGCACTGGCCCCTACATGGGCCCAGGGGGAGGGACGGACCTGCTGGTGTGGGGGGTGTCCCCTCCCCGGCACCGGGGGGGGGACGGCCCTGAGGGGACTGGTGAGTCCTTACTGGGGCCAGTCTGTGCTCCTTACTGGTGCCAGTCTGTTCCGTTAGTGGTACCAGTCTGTGCTCCTTACTGGTACCAATTTGTGCTCCTTGCTGGTGCCAGTCTGTTCCATTAGTGGTACCAGTCTGTGCTCCTTACTGGTACTAGTCTGGGCTCCTTACTGGTGCCAGTCTGTTCCGTTAGTGGTACCAATTTGTGCTCCTTGCTGGTGCCAGTCTGTTCCGTTAGTGGTACCAGTCTGTGCTGCTTACTGGGTCCAGTCTGTTTCATTATTGGTACCAGTCTGTCCCCTTATTGGTACCAGTCTGTGCTCCTTACTGGGGCCAGTCTGTCCCCTTACTGGGACCAGCCTGTGCTCCCTACTGGGCCAGTCTGTTCTGTTATTGATACCAGTCTGTGCTCCTTACTGGTGCCACTCTGTGCTCCTTACTGGGGCCAGTCTGTCCCCTTAATGGTACCAGTCTGTGCTCCCTACTGGGGCCAGTCTGTTCTGTTATTGATACCAGTCTGTGCTCCTTACTGGTGCCACTCTGTGCTCCTTACTGGGACCAGCCTGTGCTCCTTGCTGGGGCCAGTCTATGCTCCTTACTGGAGCCAGTCTGTGCTCCTTACTGGGGCCAGTCTGTGCTCCCTACTGGGAGTAGTCTGTGCTCCCTACTGGGGCCAGTCTATGCTCCTTACTGGTTCCAGTCTGTGCCCCTTACTGGTACCAGTCTGTGCCCCTTTCCAGTGCCAGTCTATACTCCTTACTGGGGCCAGTCTATCCTCCTTACTGGGGTCCAGTTTGTGCTCCTTATTGGTGCCAGTCTGTATTCCATGTGATTACTGGTCTGCCCTCCTTACTGGTACCAGACTGTACTCCATACTGGCACCAGTCTATGGGCATTACTGGTCCCAGTCTATGGGTGTTACTCATCCCAGTCTATGGGTGTTACGGGCATCAGTCTGTGGGTGTTACTCATCCCAGTCTATGGGTGTTATCGGCACCAGTCTGTGGGCGTTACTGGTCCCAGTCTATGGGTGTTACCAGCACCAGTCTATGGGCGTTACCGGCACCAGTCTATGGGCATCACTGATCCCAGGCTATGGGTGTTACTGGCACCAGTCTGTGGGTGTTACTGGTCCCAGTCTATGGGTGTTACCAGTACCAGTCTGTGGGCGGTACTGGTCCCAGTCTATGGGTGTTATCGGCACCAGTCTGTGGGCATTACTGATCCCAGTCTATGGGTGTTATCAGCACCAGCCTATGGGCGTTACTGGTCCCAGTCTATGGGTGTTACCGGCACCAGTCTGTGGGCGTTACTGGTCCCAGTGCCCCCCCTGGGGGTACCGGCGGGCACTGACCTGGCGGGGGCCCCCCCTTCGGGGCGGGCGGGAGGAAGCTGAGGAGGAGGAGGCCGGCGGCGAGGGCCAGGAGCGCCGAGACCAGGAGCCGGGAGGCCTCGGGGGACAGCTCGGGGACGGGGACGGCCACCATAGCCCAGCACCGGCACCGGCACCGGCGGCTGCGGCAACCGGATTGGCTGCGATGGAAGCGGCTGTAACGGGATCGGCTGTAACAGGATCGGCCGTAACGGGATCGGCTGGAATGGGATCAGCTGGAGGGACCAGCTATAATGGGATCGGCTGTAATAGGATCATCTGTAATGGGATCAGCTATAATGGGATCGGTTGTCATGGAATCGGCTGTAATGGGATCGGCTGTAATAGGATCATCTGTAATGGGATCAGCTATAATGGGATCGGTTGTCATGGAATCGGCTGAAATGGGATCAACTGGAATGGGATCAGCTGTAGGGACCAGCTATAATGGGATCAACTGGAATGGGATCGGCTGTAATGGGATCAGTTGTCATGGGATCGGCTGGAATGGGATCGACTGTAATGGGATCGGCTGTAACAGTATTGGCTGGAATGGGATCGGCTGGAATGGGATCAGCTGGAGGGACCAGCTATAATGGGATCGGCTGGAATGGGATCGACTGGGATGGGATCAGCTGGAATGGGATCTGTTGTAGTGGGATCAACTGTAGGGACCAGCTATAATGGGATCAGTTGTCATGGGATCAGCTGTAATGGGATCTGTTGTAGTGGGATCAGCTGTCATGGGACTGGCTGTATTGGGATCAGCTGTAATGGAATCGGCTGTAGGGATCAACTATAATGGAACTGGCTGTAATGGAATCGGCTGCTCCATGCGGCTACAGCCTCCCATAGGTGAATCCCATAGGGTGACACCCCTCATAGGATTTTCCCCTCTTCGTAGAGTGGCACCCTATAGGGTAACACCCCCATAAGGTGACACAACCCCTATAATGTGAAACCTCCCATAGGGTGACACCCCCTATAGCGTGACACCCCCTATAGTGTGACGTCCCCCATAGGGTGACAACCTATAGGGTAACACCCCCATTGGGTGACACTTCGCCATAGGGTGAAAACCCCCATAGTGAGACACCCCCACAATATGACACACCCCTATAGTGTGACACCTCCCATAGGCTGACACCCCCTATAGTGTGACATCCCCCATAGGGTGACACCCTATAGGGTAACACCCCCATTGGGTGACGCAGCCCCCCCCAAGCTCTCCCCCCCTCCACGTGCTGCCACCGTTGGACCTCCGCGCCGCCAGGGGGCGCCCTCCCCACCCACAGCGCACACGCTCCTCGTCCCCCCCCTTCCTTTCCTCCCCAACCGCCTTTCTCTCCCCTCTCTGGCGTCACTTCCGACGGCGCCGCGGCCGCTGTCAACTTCCGCTTCCGTCCGCCTCGCTGCCGGCAGCCGCCACCGGGCCCGGGAAAAGCGCGGGCGCGCTCGCGGTCGTTGGGCACTTCCGCTTCCGGTAGGGCCGGGCGGGGACTGGCGGCGGCTGCGGGAGGTGGGGAGGGGGGGGGCGGGTCCCGGTGGGGCCGGGCCTGGGGCAGCCCCGGACCTGCCGCTGCCCTGAGGCAGCCCCGGACCTGCCGCTGCCCGGAGGCGCTGCTCGGTTCCTTCCGCTTTCAGACGCGACCCCCAGCGCCTCCCGCCCGGCCCCGGCCCCGCCGCTCGGCCCCTCGGATGCTGCCGCGGAGCCCATGAGGATGGAGGCCCGGGAAGCCCGCGCCGGCCCCGGCTCCGCGTTTGAGGCCTTCCCCCTGCGCGCTCGGGCCGCCCCGCGGCCGGAGAGCAAGGTGCGGATCGACCCCTAAAGGGGCTGGGGGGGGAGGCGGCTTTGGGTGCCTTTTACCTCTTCTTTGGGTGCCTTTTATCTCTTCTTTGGGTGCCTTTTACCTCTCCTTTGGGTGCCTTTTAGCTCTCGTTTGGGTCCCTTTCACCTCTCCTTTGGGTGCCTTTCACCTCTCCTTTGGGTGCCTTTTACCTCCCCTTTGGGTGCCTTTTACCTCCCCTTTGGGTGCCTTTTGCCTCCCCTTTGGGTGCCTTTTGCCTCCCCTTTGGGTGCCTTTTGCCTCCCCTTTGGGTGCCTTTTGCCTCCCCTTTGGGTGCCTTTTCCTCCCCTTTGGGTGCCTTTTGCCTCCCCTTTGGGTGCCTTTTGCCTCCCCTTGGTGCCTTTTGCCTCCCCTTTGGGTGCCTTTTGCCTCCCCTTTGGGTGCCTTTTGCCTCCCCTTTGGGTGCCTTTTGCCTCCCCTTTGGGTGCCTTTTGCCTCCCCTTTGGGTGCCTTTTGCCTCCCCTTTGGGTGCCTTTTGCCTCTCCTTTGGGTGCCTTTTGCCTCTCGTTTGGGTGCCTTTTACCTCTCGTTTGGGTGCCTTTTAGCTCTCGTTTGGGTGCCTTTTAGCTCTCGTTTGGGTGCCTTTTAGCTCTCGTTTGGGTGCCTTTTGCCTCTCGTTTGGGTGCCTTTTGCCTCTCGTTTGGGTGCCTTTTGCCTCTCGTTTGGGTGCCTTTTGCCTCTCGTTTGGGTGCCTTTTGCCTCTCGTTTGGGTGCCTTTTGCCTCTCCTTTGGCTGTCCCCGTGGGTCAGAGGCATCAGCGCTGCAGCCCCAGAGCTCGGGTTCGGAGCCTGGGGGTGCTGGTTGGGATCGCTGGGTATCAACAGCTTGTGCCCAAGCAGCCAGGAAGCTCCCAGCATCCTGACCTGGCTCAGCACCAGTGCAGCAGCAGGGCCAGGGCAGGGATTGTGCCCCTGCACTGGGCACTGGTGACTTTATGGCTCCCTACAAGTGCCTGACAGGAGGATGGGGCCAGGCTCTGCTCCAAGGACCAAGGGATGGGACAAGAGGAACCGGCCTCAAGCTGCACCAGGGCAGGTTTAGATGGAGCTGAGGAACAATTCCTGCCCCAGAGGGTGCTCAGCATTGGAACAGGCTGCCCAGGGCAGGGCTGCAGGCACCCATGGAGATGAGGCCTCAGTGCCATGGGTTAGGGGTGGCCTTGGCACTGCTGGGCAATGGTTGGACTGGATCTTGAAGCTCTTTTCCACCCTGATTGGTTCCATGGCTCTGTGACAGCCCCATCTCAATAACACCCAACCCCTGGTGCTGGGAGAGCCCCTTGTTCCTGTGAGCGTGGAACACCCCAACCCCATGTGGGCTCTGGCTGTGCTTGGATGGATGAGGAACCCACACCTGGGTGTGCTCAGCCCTACAGCCTCACAAGTGCAGTCGAGGGCCAGCATCCCGGTGATGCTGACTGTGCCTTGCCTTGTAACAGATGAGGTGAAGTCTGGTTTCTCCTCAGTCTCCTCATGCCCAGGAGAGGGGATGTGGGGAGGGAATGGGAGAGCCAGGGCTGCTTTGGCTGCGTTGTAGCCCAGCACCAGTGATTCCTGATGGATAACAACGTGACCGGGGAGGAGCTGTCCCTGTTTCCTACCCCCGTGCTTGTCACCCCAGGGGTTCAGATCGCCCTGGGCTGCTTTAATCAACCCCTGCATCTTCTGCAGTTTTTACCCCCCAAGATCAGAGGTTTCGCCTGTCCTGCTGGCAACGCCTCCTGTGCCCTCAATTACAGCCCAGGTAAGGCGCTGGTTCCTGCCTTGAAGCAGCAGCTTCTGCCTCTCAGCCCCCCAAAAAGCAGCTTTGGGGCTCTCCCCTGACCGCTGTGGTTCTCCCCTGCAGAAGTCCCCAGCCCTGAGAGCTACCGGGCACCGGGGGAGCTGCGAGGCTTCAGCCCCAGCGCCAATGGGCAATGGAGGGGGCTGGCCCCGGCGCTGGGCTCCTCTGTGCTGCAGAAGCCAAGGGTGAGCCGAGGCTCTTACCTTGATGCTCGCAAGACCCCCAGGTACGTGCAGCTCCCTCTGGGTTTAACCCTCCCCACAGAGCCCTGGGGGGGGATTTTACCTGCACAGAGCTCTGGTGTCGATACAGAGTGAGGTTGGGTGTGTTCATAGTGGGGGTTGAGGTTGGTTGATGCGTTTTGGTGTTTATAACCTCCCTGGGGAATTCCAGCTTGGGGTGGGTTGAAAGGGACCTTAAAGCTCATCCAGCTCCAGGGACCTTCCACTGGAGCAGGGTGCTCCAAGCCCCTGTGTCCAACCTGGCCTTGAGCACTGCCAGGGATGGGGCAGCCACAGCTTCTCTGGGCACCCTGTGCCAGCGCCTCAGCACCCTCACAGGGAAGAGCTTCTGCCTCAGAGCTCAGCTCAGTCTCCCCTCGGGCAGGTTCAATCATTCCATGATCCATGTGTATTTCCCCATCCTGGGAGTGGGCAGAAGCAGGGCAGGGAGAGGGGAGCCCTGGTGCTCCTGGGTGTCTGCAGGCAGGGTTCAGCCATTTTGTGGTGCAGGGATGGAAGCGGGAGCCAGAGCTGGAGCTGGCGGGAAGGTCTGGCCGGGCTTTGCAGGTTGGGGCTCCTCGGCCTCGCAGTGCCACCTGGTGGCATCTGTGTGGCCGCACAGGCCTCGGGAATGGTGCAGGATCGAGCTGCGGGAGAGGCAGAGCTGGGCGATGGCTCTTAAACCCCTGACTCCTGCGTGTGTGGTTGGGGTGGGTTGGAAAAGAACGAAGTTAGGGACTAAAAGCCTCGTGGCATGAACTAAATCCGGTGTTTGCCGTCTCCTCGCAGTGGGACAGCCAACAGTTTTGGAGGAAAATCAAACCACCACTGCCATGCCTCAGCTTTCCCCATCAAACCCGCTCAGAGCCCCTCGTGGAGCGGCCCGTGCCGCCGCAGCCTGCTCAGCCCCAAGAAAACCCCCCGGAGGTTCATCAGCACGGCCGAGGAGGTGAGGAGCTGGGCACTGGGGTTTGGGGGTTCCATGAAGCACCTGAGGTGGCTTTAACTGCTTCTCCTGGGCTGGATTTGCTCCCTGTGGCTGCCTTCAGCTCTGCCCGTGTTCAGCCTTTGGGTCAAGGCTGATGCTCAGACTCTTCAGTACCCCTGGGTGTGTTCATGTGTGTGATCACAGTGTCCGTGTTGGAACTGTGTTGCTGAGACTCTGCTTGTTCCCCTGCAGACTGTTCGAGAGGAAGAGCGGGAGATCTACAGGCAATTGCTTCAGATGGTCACAGGAAAACAGTTTTCCACGTCCAAACCCTCTTCACTGTTCCCCTTCCATCTGTGAGTGTCTGGT